CAGAAATCGCTGAATCAGAGGATATGGATCTCTGACAACAACAATATTTATGAATCCTTACCAAAAATTGCTGAAGATGTTTTGGGGTTTTTTTTGCAAAAAAAAACAAACACCAGCACCTTCAGAGATCCCTGCAATATGTTTGTGATTTGTTACCCAAAGGAAACATGCATGCCATTTTTGCCAGCTAACAGAATACTTTCTAGCAAGGCATTTGGAGAAAGACAAAAATATCTCACACTGATATGAGTCATTTTGGCTGCAAGTGCACATTTTAGAAAAAGGCACTTCAGAAAAAAAAAAATAAAAAAAAATCTCTTTTAAGTAAGTGCTGGAATGAAATATGGTCTTTAAGTCACTGGCCTGGAAAGGCTATGCATGTTTGTATTCTATACAGAAACGATAGGTATCTTTCAACACACACAACTGCTTTGTATTTTTTCTTTTTCTTTTTTTAAAAAAAACAAAACAAACATGAAGCGAAAAAAAACCCCAACAAACAAACAAAAACAACAAACCAGCAATCTAATCTATTTCCCAACTTCTGGCTGATAAAGTCTCTTAGCTCAGTGGGCTACAATTACTTTTTCTACATAGCGAGGTGACCTCTGCTGGTAGATTCTTATCATAACTCCAGTAATTCACATACACAGGCACAATACATTGATATTCCGGTAAGTGCTGCCCTACATACACAAGACATCATACAGAAGATACAACCCCTGCTCTGAAAAATAAACTCCCACGCTGGAAAGGTGTAAAAAAAAATAATAATTGTATGACCCAGTTTTCTCCACTCACAGATGTTTTGTAGGGCGTTTTTTTAGAGAACCTTTTATAGAAACGTATGAGCATCTCAGGCCACTGGTGCTTATTCAGCATAATGGTCTAAATGCTTGCTTGGAAAGCCCCTGAACTTCATCCTGTTAGAAGCAAAGAGGTTATAGCAAGGAAAGGATTAGTCTCCACTTGCATTCCTTTCTTGCAGTCTTTTTTCACACCACCTGCTAACAAACACTGTGAGAAGGGATACCATCTAAAGGACCTTCCTTCTGACTCGGCACAGCTATGATACAGTGGCACTGCATAATGTCATACTTAAAAAAAACCCAACATCCCTTCACCTGAGAGACCACAATGCAACTTGCAGTTAAGAGCCTTGGTCTTTGTGATACCCAAGGTCATTCCTATTATTACAGCACAGTGCACGGAAATACCACAAATACCAAGAGAGCCTTATCTATTTATCATAGGTGAAATTGGCACGCGTTGCAGCGCGACGGCTCCACGCTGGGTTACAGGCATTTTGAGTTCATTTGATTTTCCATCCAGAGGCCGGCTTCCTCAGTTAGGAGCTCAGTGGATGCTGCACTTTACGACGGCAGTGCCAGAGCCACCTCTCAAGTGCCCGGCTTGCACTGACAGCTCCAGGCTGGAGAAACACCCGCCCTGACCTTGCCGGAGTGAGCACAGGGAGCCAGAGGCAGGGGCTGGGCACGGGTCTTCCCTCCTTCTGAACCATCCATGGCACAGTTTGGGCTGGAAAGGACCTTCAAGATATCTAATCCCGATGCCCCTTGCATGGGCAGAGACACCTCACAGGAGACCAGGCTGCTCAGAGCCCCATCCAACCCGGCCTTGAACACTTCCAGGGATGGGGCACCCACAGCTTCCCTGGGGCAAACCTGTCCCAGTGTCTCACCCCCCTGCGCTGTGCCCACGCTCCTGCCACCGCCCTGCCCGGCCACCCGCTATCACTGTGATGAACAACCCCCCCAGACCCTTCCCAGACCCCTCCAGACCCTTCCCAGACCCCTCACAGACCCTGCCGAGACGCACCGAGAAT